TAGCCTCCATCTGGTCAGAAAGGTACTTGTCACATTCGGAGAGCACAGGTTGGGAAGATTGCCTCGTCAGCCACTCAGAGAATAGGGGATCCACATTGATATTTGCTGTAGCAGAAGCAGAAACTGATGGAGCCAGATCATTGTTGTGTTGCTGGTTTGGTCCATACTTCTCGGCATACCCTTTATACACTGCTCGAAAACGAGCCTCCACATGGTGGTGTGATACATATGGGTTATTGAGAAAGAAGTTCAGTTTCCTGCGCGGATCCAAAACTTTGAACATTATTTAAATTTAATATTATATAATTATAAGATAGAAAAAAGAAAAAAAGGATAACCTATTGGAATAATATATGCGTCTGACGCACATATTTCATACGCATACTTTTCCAGCTTTTCCAGTGCACATGCAGCTCCATTTCGCAAATATTAGGGGTAGTCACCAGAGATCGACTTCAAGTCAGAACAGAGACTGACCATTAAAGGAATAATGATGTGGGTAGTTGGCTTGCTCCCAACTGAAAGCCGTTTCGTTGCATTATAAAAGGGCTGGAGAAATTGCTTTAACTGCTTGAAGTGGCTGAGGTCGGTGGGTTTGAAAGCCATGTTCTCATCACGTGAAAACCCCATGCAGTACTTAGCTTGATCTCTTGGAGCCACTGTTGCCAGAACAATGTTCAATGGGTCCCAAACGTGAATCAATGGGTCAATCATTTCATAGACAGAGTTCCAGCGAGTCTTAACTGCAGGAAGCATCATTTTGAAGGGTACACCCTTAGCGATGCACTGGTCTTCCACGCGCTTACGTAACGATGGGCTATTTGCTAGCATTCGAGCAACTGCTTGGGCCTATGCTTGTTTTATTAGTATGACAAAACAAAATGTAACGAACACATTTAAAATGAGCAACCTTTTTCACCAGTTTTCTCACATCGTCGGGGCAGGGAGAAGTTGAAGCTGTCAGGGACTTCACAATGTCATTAGAGTCATCCATTGAAACTGCTCTCGCCAAAGTCTCAATGATGCGGAGAGTTTCCTGGTCAAACTAAAAGGAGTCAATTCAAAAAACAACGCATGCAATGAAACATACATGGGGTTCAGCACCACTGTTTCCAGTGGCATCACAGGGATTAACAAGGGACTCCAAGTCGTCAACATCTTCGTCATCAGCCACCTCGTCAAAGTCGCCATCATCAGCGTCACCATCCTCATTTCCAATTACTTCAGAAAGACCACAGAGACCGCTGATAGAATCCGTTACAGCTAAGTTCAGGATATGGGGAAAGCAGCGCACATGTTCAAGTGCTTGGGCGTCTTTATCTGAGCAATGATTTTAGATTAACAAAAAATAAATTTTTTCCGAAAAAGAAAAAAACAAAACAAACAAAAAGAAAAAAATGGCATCAAACGAATTTCTTCTGACACAAAACGAGCATGTCCTGGAATGGATCTCCATGTTGTGATTAAATCACGAATAAATTTAACCATATTGTTGTTGGAAGACGCATTGTCGAGGGTAACTGACTGCAGTTTTGGAAGCAAGTCCATCTCCAACAGCTTGAGAACCAGCAAATGAGCAAGATTGAACCCACTAGTTAATGAATTGCAGGTTTCTTGTCAACCTGTCATGTTAAGGGGGAGTTTGAGGGGGTCAAAGGCCAATTCCTTGTAGTTCTATTTATAGAAAAGATGTTCCTACTTTGTTCAAATGGTTTGAGGGTTAAGAAGGGGGTTTTTAATAGTTCTATTTTTAGAAAATGGACTTGTTCAAGCTGTGCTTCCCTGGCAATTAAAGAAAAATTGACTTGGAAACCAAAGTAACTCCAGACAAGACAACTGTCTCAAAAGGGTTTTTTGGCCTGAGTAATCATGTTTTACACATTTAATTTCCGGCTGCTGTCATGTCATGCTTGTGTACCTGAAAACCAAAATAAGCTTTCCTCTAATGGATTTCATTGACTAACACAAATTATGGAATCTCTAAAAGAAGGCAAAATAAGAAGTGACTCAAGGCCGAATTAATGCCTAGTAAGCAGTAAGGATTGCAGGCAGACACATGCATGATGAGAATCTGTCTTCTTTGGCTTCTTTGACATCTTCTGATCATTCCCCAATATTTTAAATTTGAAAACAAAGACTTTTCGCAAACACCCCTAAAAAGAAATTTTCTGCTTACAAGCTTTGTGAACCCATATAGTCGTAATTTCTCTGGATTTGCAACCTGCACTGCGAAGAAGCAAAGTGACTGAGCGTATGTCTCTAGTAATTTCAATAAGTACTATTTAGTGTTCAAAAAAAGTTTTAAAAAAACCTGTGAGATCCCTTCAAAGGCACAAAGCCAACTGTTGTTGACTGATAATTGAAGTCTGGGTCAATCCAGTTGGCTCGAATTCCAAAAAATGCAAGCTTCATGAAGGCAGTCCAAATGTCTCCTGAAATTGCAATCTTTGAGTGAATTGACGCAAAGTAGAGCTGAACCAGAATAATAATTAACAAAAAAAAAACTGGCAAAAAAATATTTAAAAACAAGGTTTACTTTCAGAGCAGAGTAACAAGCTTGATATGTTTGAGGAAGAATAATTGTTCGGTATGTAGTGGCTGTTTCGATGAGAGATGGAGCTGCACGGCAGAAAAATGTGGCCCATTGCATGACTGTAGGAGACTCAATGAAATGAAAAGAGAAATTGTTGCATAAGATTGTACGCAATGTCATGAAGCGGACAGTGCTTTTGTTGATGTTCTCTGGAAGCAGTTGCCGCTTTTCCAAAAATGGCAGAATAGTACTGCTTGCGCGAGGTGTTGATTCATTTTCAATATCAGATGAGGGGGCCCGAAGCCGGTGTGAGTTGGTCAAATGGGATGCAAGGGCTTTTGTTGATGGTTTCAATTCCACTGTGACTGTAATATTCGGTGAATGATAATGTCAACAAGAGCCAATAAAAACATACTTGGTTTGCCACAAATACGATCCTGATCCAGTACAACTTGACAGACATAAGCATAGTGGTTGGGACCCAAGCTTGGCTTTGGTACTGTCTTACTCTTGTCAAAGTATGTCCACACCCAAGATGCCTTCTTTTGCTTCTGCAATGACTGGGGTTGCTGTTTGTTTAATGCGGCATCAAGGATGCCACTCAAAGTAGTTGTGGCAGGTGTTGGGGTTAATAATGCACTCGCTGGAGATGCACCACTAAGCGCTGCTGGAACCTGCACTGGTGTGTGCAAACTACTGTCATTGTCGCCATCTTTGCCATCTTTGTCGTCTTCATCTTCATCTTCATGAGGGCGCTTTCAAGATGAAGAACCAGAAGTTGGAGCTGCTGCATTCAAACACAAGCCTGAAGCTGTCTGCAGAGGCTGTCGCTGTTGAGGGGCAGCTGAAGACGATGTTGCTGATGATGAAGATGAGCCACTTCTCCTGATGTTGAGAAAGGCGCGTTTCTGGCGCTCAGTTTCTTCTTGAGAAAGTCGAGAGATATCACTTCTGCTGAAAAAGTTTGATGCAGTAACACCAGGTGGGGCCCTCTCCTTTCCTTTTCCAGTCATTTAGAGCAACAGTAAGTTGTAGCATGTGAATTTTGTGTGTGAATAGAAATGTTTATTACCCCGGCGGGTCTGGCGGGTTTTTCGGGACAGGTTTGCAGTCCAACCCTGACCCAGCCCCGTGACCATCGGGTGCGGGGAAACCCGACAGGTTGACCCGAACCCGTTTGCACCTTAAAGCAAAAGGAAATATTGGAGCAGTGTTTGGATTGGGTATTTTAGAGGCAGCCAGGGTCAACAGCAACATTAATTCACCAATTAAATTAGTCTAGCAGAGCGTCAAAATGCCATCAAAGTTCCTGAGCAACACAACTATGATATATGGAGCGTGTGTGGCCATCCCCTGTTGTGTTCAGCTTTGTTTTTGAGAGCCCTTAAAGTAGATGGATGTGGGCTGCCACTGGGTCCCAACATTGAGGACATAAGCTTCAACCTCATCAACAGCCATTGTACAGCCATTGTTGTATTGAGAAGAAGCAAAGACACACGCAAGCTTTGGTTAAGCAGTCTGGGACAAAGTCAGCCAGGATGTCTGGTACGATGGCAGCAGTGACAGGGAGGATGATGAAGTATGAAGAGACATGTTGGATATGTTGATGGAAGATGTAGATGACATTTATTAGACATGTGCCGGATTTTACTGCACATCGATCAACGATAAATAAACGATAAATAACGATTAATATTTACCATGTTTTATTGGAAATTATTGCTGTAGTGTATCGTGACTTCATTATTGTTTAAAAAACTGATCCAAAAGGGAACTGGGTTTTGAACCCAGGGCGTTATTTCCAGCTATGCGCGTCACCGCTCCACTAAAGGAGTACATAATTAACCTTGAAAGATCCCGAAATAACAAAGAGCAAAACTAAGAGTCCAAGACCAGACAATTTAGTTGAAACAAGAATGCAAAGAAAACATGAATCAAAGGGTAAATGTTTATTTCTTCTCACACTAAGGAAACTGCTGCTGATTCTGGTAGGTATACATTGTAGTGGTGTGAATAATAACCTTGATTATGTTCCATAAGTAGGAGTTATTCATCTGCCCACAATACAGGCAGACTCCAGAAGTGTTAGAACATAAGAGAGTAAACATTTCTTACCAGTGTGAAAAGCACTGGCCTCACATTGGTAAATTGGAATTTGGAATATGGGATATTTTGCCAAAACATCAGACATGTATAAAAACAGTTGGCCTGAGTCCCGTAGCAGTAGGGCCTTGCCATCCAATGTGCATCTGTGTTCTCAGTTGTGAATTACAGCGAGAATGAAGTATATCGATTTGCCATTACTTGGATCATGTGGGCGTATGGCAAAATGGTTACCGCGCTACGAATCAAGAGATTCCAGGTTCGACCCCTGGTACGCTCGCTTTTGCCGAGTGTGTATTCAATAAAGTTATCCATAAAAGCGAGTTTGATGAAGTGTTCCAGATAAGCAATTGCATCGTTCAATAGGTCGTACCCGGATTCGAACCGGGGTTACTGGTATCAAAAACCAGGGTGATGACCACTACACTATACAACCTGGCTGTCGTTGAGTGGTTCTATCAACTATTAAGCTTTTATCTGAGAATACCACCTACCAAACCAAACAATACCAAATCTGAGTCTTCCTGTGTATAGATAGGACTACACTGCTAACAAGACTTGGTATGGAATGAATATTTCTCTAAGGTTGATGCTTTCTTCACACAATCTGATCCAAGCAGCATGACTCATAAGAAATCATAAACCAAATTAAACACTCTTCCAACAATCCTTTCAGCTGTGTCTGACCATTTGGTGGTGCACCACAGCATTTGTAATCTCCCTCTTCATAACACTATATTAATCTCCTCCAAGACAACAAAAATATATCACATGTCTGAAACCAAGGCGTACAACGTCCACCAGATTTGACTACAATCAATCTGGTCTCATTCACTGAGAGATTAGATAATATCATCGAATATCTTGAACACACTGGCCATAGTACCAGTTTGGACTCCAGGTTCACAGTACCTGAAGTACCAGAGCGTCCAGTTGACCTGAGAGCAGATGTCCTCCCTGGACCAAAGCCACAACTTTGACGTGAGCTCAAGGAAGGGATGATGAGGACCCAAAACTTGGAAAGATCTATAATGATCAAACTGAATTTGAAACTGCTATCGGCTAGTTCAAAGAAGACTGCAAACTGTACACTGAGGTTACTGTCGCTTTCGAAAAGAGAGAACAGACCTTCTTCAGTAAACAGGACACCAGAGCCAAATATCTGAGCAATCATAACCAGGCCTTGGGAGTACTATCAACTTTCATGGACAACCACAAGTGGAAACAAGTAGTTGATCGTGCGGACTTAATTGCAGATCCATACTGCTGGAAAGCAATCAAAATCATTTGAGAATGCTTTGGACAGATGGACAATGCTGGTAAAGACCAATCTTTGTTTTTAAGATGGAGGGTCCTCATAACAAACAAATTAGGATTGCAATGGATGAACTGGAACAACAGAATGACCAACACCATTATCCCACCTGAAAAGCGATTGTACCTTGTAGCATGGAGAAGCGCCATTGATTCAATCAAGAGACACATAAACGCCTCCAGTGCCTTAAAAACAAAGTAATATTGAAATTAAAACTTCAAAATAAGAGCTAAAATTGAATATTCCAATCCAAAATTAACCAATAAAATAAAATGTTCAATGATGCCGTTCCCAAAGACTTCAAAATCCAATTGGTCAGAACAGAAGACAAAGAAAGCAAAAGAATTTGCAGGTTGCTTGTCGACCTGTCATGTTAAGGGGGGGTTTGTGTTGTAGAGGGACTGGAAGCGGTGCTGGTTCTGTAGACAGGTGAGCTGATTGTTGTGGACACTAGAGAGATTTTGGAGAGAATTCTTTTTTAACTTTATTTCCAAACATGGAGCTTGCAACATGAGTTTCATGTGCCTCCAGGGTTGAAAGCCAATTCCTTGTAGTTCTATTTATAGAAAAGATGTTCCTACTTTGTTCAAATGGTTTGAGGGTTAAGAAGGGGTAACTCCAGACAACACAACTGTCTCAAGAAGGGTTTTTTGACCTGAGTAATCATGCTTTACTGATTTAATTTTCTGGCTGCTGCCATGTCATGCTTGTCCACCTTAAAACCAGAAGAAGCTTTCCTCTAATTGATTTCATCAACTAACACAAATAATGGAAGCTCTAAAAGAAGGCAAAATGAGAATTGACTCAAGGCCAGAGTAATGCCTAGTAAGCAGTACATATTGCAGGCAGACTCATGATGAGAATCTGTCTGCTTTTGGCTTGTTTGACATCTTCTGGCCATCCCCCAAGATTTTAAATTTGGAAACAAAGAGGACAGCCTCTTTTAATTTTCTGGCAATCAAAATAGAAATTCTGACTTATCGCAAACACCCCTAAATGAGCAAATGTCTCTAGTGAAGTTAATCTGGGAGCCTAGTGGTTCCAACCATCGTGTTGGAAACTGTGGTAGCTACAGTTTTGAATGCCAGACAGAGCCAAAACAAGTCCACTTGCCACCAGACTGCAACCTTTGAAAACCAAGCTGGAATACAAAGGAAGCATTGCTTTCAAGGACGCAATGGAGCTGGTGGAAGAAATAACCCATCTCTTGATGTTGACTCACGTCAAGGGCGAAGGCAAATTGAAACAACCTAAGTCAATGGGCAAAGACAAAGCTGCTAAAGCCCAACAGTTTAAGCAAAAATTCAAAGATCAGGGAGAATCCTCAACTGCAAACAAAAAGGCAAAGTTGGAATGTGTCCTCTGCCCTGGAATGACAAATCACGCGACCAAGAACTGCTTCGACTATAAGAACTTTGGTTGCAGCAGGGAAAACGGAACTACTTGCCAAGGCAATGGAACATGCTGTGACTCACTTGTGACCCAACTCAACAAGCCGTTGGACCCAAACCTACTGCAAAGAAGGCGGTTGGTGGAAACAACAAGAAGGGACCCAACGGTAGTCTGAAGTGTTCTCTTGGAGCGATTGGTTTGCCGCTTCAATAAAAATTACAAAGATAAGAAATACAATACACTACCTCTGATGTCAAGGACATAAGATACTCCTCTTTCAGAACAAGTTTTGCTGTCTTTGGAATTTAACAGTTGGCGGGACCATCTGGCGGGACCCTCCTCTGCGGTGGCGGGACTTGGCGGGACTTCAGAGCCAGTAGATGGTAGCTGCTAGCTTAGTACTCGGAGTTGTAATCGGAGTTTGAAATACTGGGGATGGGCTAGAGTAGCAGCTGAGTAGGTACATTCAAGTAGCTAATAACAATTGTCCATCCAAAATTCATTGCTCCTAATCGGATTTTTTGCTCCTAATAGGAGCACTACTAGCGTTTTCCACTCCTAATAGCAAACCAATTGGACCCATAGGAGCCCTAATGGGGAGTTTTCCCCCGATAATGACCCTTCGCACCTGTGAACATAAAACAACCAAGAACAAATTATTCGGCTGCACAATGAAGACTAAAGCAACTTAACTGCAGAAATCTCTTCTATTGCAATATAAACTATGAGAATTTCTAACTTAACATAATGATCCAATGAAAATTTTCTCAACTCTGCACTTGTACATATTGCCATCCCCATTAAAATTTCATGGCAAATTTTTTTCCCATCATCAATTTTTCACCCTGCATGTTTATTAACAATTTTAATACGTGCCTGAGAGAGAAAATTTTGCCCCACCAGATCATCTTCAAAGCCACTGCCATTTCAAAACTGCACTATGTCAACTTATATTAATTCTTGATTGCATGCAAACTTAACTACTTATTTTGTAGTGAATAAATTCCTGATTGTGAATTCTGAAGAATTAATTAACTTGATTTGAATTCAAAAGGTAGCTCAGTCAAATAGAAATAACAATGGAAGAATAATGATTTGTAACATATGTGAGACACAAGTTTGTATTACGTCATTCATTAAACCCATTGAGGGCACTGGGCGACAACTTTTTCCATTTGAGTGAAATTTTTGTTTGAAAATTTCAGGATGAAGGCTCAGAAAAATTTTCTGATGGCTTCAAACCCCACCAGATGCCCAAAGTTTTTGGGATTTGGAGTCCTAACAGGGATCCTAGTAGAACCCGTAGCCACGTTTGACTAGCTTTCCGACTAGGACTATCAACGCGCTATTAGCAATGGGCTGAAAAAGCCGTTAGGAGCTATAAATCCAATTGGAAGCGCATTTGGAGCTCAATTGGAGTCCGTTTGGAGTGCCGTTAGGCCTAACAGACAGCCTAGTCCGATTTGGACTCCAATTCGGACCCGAATTGGGCCCAAGTCGGACTCCGAATTGTTTTCCGATTAGGCCTCCCCAGATATTGCCGTTTTCCATCAATTCGATCCCAATCCAGTGGATTCGTTGAAATTGGTGTTTTGACCCGTTGTACCCAGATATTCACCGGATTGGATCAAAATATTTTGAAAACGCTGGATTCAATTTCGAATCCAAATCCTGTCTAATCCAGACCAGATTCCACGAATCCTTCACTTGAAAATGAATCCAGGTCTGACCCTGGATTCAAACTGGATCCATCGCTCAATTGAATTAAATGAAACAAAGTAAACAATTAAATAAAATACTCATTATTAATCAGGACAATCTTTAACACGACGTTAAGGTTAAATTTAATAAAGAGATAAATATGCCTCTTCAGGAACGTTGTCCCAGTCTTCCTGAGACACACTCTTACTGAATATATCTGAGTACTTGTCCTTGATGACATCAAGAGTGCTTGAGTTGTCGTGGGAGCCATTTGAAGGGCTCACGACGCGTTTTTGCAGCGACAGTCTTTACAGTCTTCACCGACTTCTTTGGGGCACCTTTGGTGGTCTTTGCTTGTTGCTTGTTTTTTGTCATGCTTTTTTTTTCATTAAAGAGTAGGCGGATTTATTTTTATTATTTTTCTCGAATATCTGGGGAAGAAAGTGTATTTGAGTGGATTCAGTCCCGCCACTTCCATTTCCTTTTTCCAATCCAGTTTTCGTCCAATTCTACAACGAATCCACCAAAACTAGGATTCAATTTTTTTGCAACCCAATCCACAAGATCCAGTGAATATCTGGGGAGCACAAATAGGAGTCCAAATAGGGTCCAAATTGGGAGTGCCGCTTGCTATAGTACGTGACTTTATGGGATTGCAACACCTGTAAGTAGAAATTTCTTTAGGGGTGTTTGCTGTTTCCAAAGCTATGCAGGCAATTTAAAACATTGGTGGGTGGGTAGAAGATGTCAAACAAGCATGATTCTGCCTGCAATTGGTACTACTTACTTGCCATTAATCTGGCCTTCTTTTTGAGCTTCCATTATTTGTGCAAGTTGATGAAATTGACAGAAAATTAAAAACATGATTACTCAGGTCAAAAAACCTGTCTTGAGACAGTTGTGTTGTCTGGGAGTAATAAATGTAACATGGAGAGACTTTGGTTTCCAATGAAAGTAACAGCTTGAACCAGTTAATATTCTAAAAACAGAACAATTAAAAACTGCCTTCTTATCCCTTAAACTTTAAC